CCGAAAAGTTGTTTTGGGAATGTCTTCTGTCTTGATCTTTACCTGATGGTAACCTGAACGTAACTCTATTTTGGAGAAGACTTTGACACTCTGCAACTGATCAAAAAGGTCGTCGATCTTAAGGATGGAGTATTTGTTCTTGATCGTGACCATGTTCAGTCCTTTGTAATCAATATATAACCTTAACGTCCCATCCCTCTTCCTTACAAATGTGACTCCGGCATCCCAAGGGGACACACTATGTCGGAGGAATCCATTATCCTGCAATTCATTGATCTATCTTTTCAACTTTTCGATCTCAACACGACTCATGCGGTAAGGGACAACAGAAATAGGTTAAGTGTCTGACTGAAGGTCTATGGTGAATTTAACTTCTATATCCACTGGTAGTCCGTGTAATTCACCCAGGAACACATCAGAGAAGTCTTGAACTACTGGAATATCTTGAATATAAATTTCTTTCTTGGGTTTGCCTAGTTAGAGAAAACAACCGAGTTAAAGCACTTGTTAATAGGAAAAAATTGCTATGAGGGAACAAATGTTAGAAAATTTTATTAATTTGTAAATGTCTTCTCAATAGGAGGGTTGAATACAAGTTTCTTATGAAAATAATCTACGGTAGCATGATATACTGCTAACTCGTTTATTCTTAAGATTACATCAAAGTCTCCCGTGTCAATCTCTATTAGGTCCACACTCAATTTTTTATATGTTATATTTATGACATAAGCTCTGTATATAATCTCCCCCAATAGTGTCTTACTCTTAGACACAAATAATACAAAATCAAGTCTTTCAGATAAAACATTCAAGTTTGATGCAAAAGCATGTGAAACAAATGAATGTGAGGCACTACTATCAATAAACACATATGCAAGATGATTACAGATAATGTACGTACCATGTATCACGTCTGGGTTGGTCTCTGCATCTTGCTGAGTGAGGTTATAAACCCTGTCCTGAATAGGAGATATGGTCTGGTTCTAATTCCTCAAACACTCTCTCGCGTAATGCTGGGCACTCCCACATATGCGACATATATTTTTGAGGCGATAGCAGGGTCGATCCTCATGATCCTTACCACAGTGTTGGCAAGTCCTGTCGCGTCCTGTTGTTGGAATCTGATGAGTAGTCTGAGTCATCATCCTGGGTCTCTTATTCTGCTGAACAGGTGCAGTAGATGCTAGACTGTGGTGTGAAACCGGGTGCCTGAGGTTCTCTACTGCTGGGGAAAAAATGCGAAGGTTCCTCTCCACTACCTGTGCTTTGGCCAGAACAGCCGAGTAGGTACTAAGCTCTAATACATACAACTGCTGTTTGATTTCAAGACGGAGGCCCCAATCGAACATTCTTGTTTTCCTGCCTTCATCTATCATGCTTTTAGGGGAATACTGGCCCAACTCTAGGAACTTTCAGGCATATTCTGATACAGTCATGTCACCTTGGACAAGGTGTGCAAACTCCATTTCTTTCCGATGTCGGAGATGCTATAGAAGGTACTCTGTATTAAAGGCCATCAAGAATTGTTCCAAAGTGACTGGAACGGGTAGGGTGGCCTGCTTAAATTGCCACCAGCGGCTTGCCTCTCCCACCAGCATGTAGGTGGCAAGTATGAATCTCTGTTCGGGAATCACCCCAAGAGTCGTGAAGGCTTTCTCTGTCTCAGCTAACCAATATTCGACCTCTTCAAAGGAAGATCCCCCTGCAAAAGTAGATGGCTTTAGTTTTTTATACCTCTCAATATAACCTGGGTCCATCATAAGAGGAACTGGGTTCCATGGAAGAGGGACTGGATTATGTTGGGGATGGACCGGATGGCCCTGTAGTGATGCTGAATGGAACGACGGAGGCACCAGATTGTACTGTAGTGGTGCCGGGTGATTTGATTGGGGCACCGGGCTATACTGTAGTGGTGCTGGGTGATACTGTAGTTAGGGCACTAGATCATATTGTAGTGGTGCCGGATGGTACTGTGGAGGAGCAGGGTCGTACCGGGGTGGCTCAGGATCCTCTCACTGTAGGGGTGGCTCAACTTGTGGTAGCAGGGGAGGGTCATGTAGCTCCCTCCTTTCCTCCTAGACCTGTTGGGCAGCGATAAGTCTCTCTAGTATTTCAAACAATCGGTCAATATTCTCTCGAAGCGAACCCTCCCGGGCTGTTCAGTTTACTGGAGGTCTTCTTTTCCTCATCTATTTGTACCTCTATTTCACAAGGAATAGTTGAATGATAATTCATTCTTTAGTATTTTCTAGGGTTTTTGTGTAAGGAATGGTTCCGAGAAATGCAACTCTGATACTACCTGTAACGATCTAAAACTTAAAAAAAATAAATTATAAATTAAGTGCGGAAGCGAATTAATAGCATTAGGGTTTACATTCCTTGCACAATCATTCTGAATATCCAATAGGGTTACGAGAATGATCCTTCTAAAGAAACAACTAATAATTAAAGAAATAAAAGAAAAGTAAACAAACTGAACGTCCTACTCGCAACCCTCTTGTGGATCGGAATCTGGATATTGGTCCTCTTGATCTGAAATGGTTAATAAATGAGAGAGTTATACTAACTCAACAAGAATGTCACACTACTTACCGATACAAATGTTGGTAAAAATCATGGAAACAACTAATAGAGCTCTTATTTTAAGTAAATTTATTTATCACAAGTAAAATCATTTGTTGTATACTTACCGTAGCGAAATTTCTAAAACTGACCTATAAAGGCAATGATACAACAATCTCATAATCTCATGTATAATTAACTAGAACGACAAACTTCCATTTTTATCTGCCTATTAGTATCCCTGAGAGTTCATAGGGATGTCACCACTACGCGTGAATCCTTATTCAACTTTTTTAATGAACCGGCCGTCCCATACCCCGTCCAGTATGCGCACCAAAAATACCATCCATCAATACTCCGTCTGGTATTAGGGTGAAACGAGTCGTCCCCATACCCCGTCTGGTATGAGCGCCAAAGTACCAATCCTCCATACTCGGTCCGATATGAGATAACGTTCACAGTAGAGTTCCCTATGTACCTGGTCCGTCCACCATCTCTCAGGATATCCAGTAAGGTTACTATTCTTTTACTCACTTAATCCAATAATTTCTCGTTTACATTTAATTTCTAATTTTACAATTGAACTTTAAATCACACAAAACAAGCAATACATGCATCAAGAAAACACAACTACATCATCATACCAACTCCAGTGTAATATTATGCATTTGAAATAGTAAAATCAATCAAACAGGATCAACAGTGAACAATATCCGGTTTTGCCTCCATTAGTAACCTGTGATTAATTATCAAAATTTTCTAAATTGTACAAAATACTATATTATTTATAATTAATTTTCAATTTCATAACAAGGAATAGAGTGAGGGATTCTTACCCAAATCTATATTTAAAACGGTAAATTTTTAGCTGCACCTACTAGCGATCCCCAGATTCCCTAAATTTTTCTTCAAAGATTAAAACACGCTCCAAGTACCTAGAAATACCCCCAAAAAACCTAAAATCGATGCTAGAAACCCTTTCTGGCCAATTCTGGGATTCCAGCATGGCGGTGCCGCCGTGCTCCGGCAATGGCACCGCTGCCCGCAATGGCGGTATGCCTCTTGTTGGCCGTTTTCGGCCAGGTTTGGCCAATTTCTGCTGGTTTTATACTTATTCATGTGAAAAAACTCGTTAAGAAGGCTCGGTTGGACGAAAAATTCAAAAAACAGAAGCTTACCAGCGGAGTTTTCTGGTGCGACGGCTCTGGCGGCTCACCTTCGCAGTTGGACATTTTTCTTCAGTCAGCCTGTGGGAAACAAAATAGTGAATACAATGGTGAAAAAATTACAAAAAACAAGAATCGGAAAGGACTTCATCGGAGGCAATTTTTGATTTTTCTCGCGGCGGCACAGCCGGGCTTTACCCGCGATTTTCAGCTCATCCACCAGTCCTTTTGCTTTAATTTGGCTATAGGAGTGTTTGAAATCAAATTTCAAGCGAATGGAACAAGTTTTACCTCTTTTGGCAGTCAAAAGTGGCTCTGGCACGACAGCGGGAGGCGGTCGGCTCCTTTTTCGGCGACTGGTTCTTCTTCTCCAGCGAAGGGGTTTGACGGCTAGAGTTAGGGTTTGATGTGATGTGAGATATTTATATCCGTCTCCTTTTAATCTGGGCCGTCCATCATTTGATTTGAACTGTCTGATGGCATTTAAATAAGAAGTAAATCTGAATTGTTCATCGCGATTTAATCTGAACTGTCCAATTGCGTTTAAATAAGAAGTGAATCTGGACCGTTCATTGTGATTTGATCTGAATCGTACGATCGCGTTTAAAGAGGGAACGAATTTCGGACCGTTCACACTCGCGGGAACAAATCCGGACCGTCCGATCGCGGTCACGCAGATTGCCAACATGTCCCTCTTCGTGGCACTACACCAGCGTGCCTTGCCACGCGGCACGCTTCAGTTCGTCAGGGCTGTTGACTAGGCATCTTACGTAACACATTCTTCTTAAATTGCGTTTTGATCCCTAATTTTTTATTTTTCTTTTAAAAATACCCACAGAATCTAAATTTTAACTTGTTTTCTTCAAAATTATTTTTAATTTTATCATTTACCTATTTTTTCTTAATTTTTACATCGAATAAAAATTTATAAATTAAAAAAAATAAATTTTTATACATTAATTTTAAATTTATTTAAAATTAATTAAATATATTACATTAATTTCTTATACAAAAACTGAAGTGATTCCAGCAAAGGAAAATTCTTCTCGTCATATCGTATGGTATTTGGGATCCTAACTCTGTATAAACAAAAATTCTTCCAAAAATCTGCCAAGTACCAAGTACAGTTCAAATTTACAACTTATATTCAGAATTTACTAACCGATAACCACACAAAAATAACCTAATCTTAAGATCAAGAATAATATGATCCAATACAAAACTCTTGACAATTTACTATTAATAACAAAATTTCTGCAAATGGAGAAACGCTCAGAGGTCAACACTTTGACGGCAGAGTGGGCAGGAGTTTTTCGTCTTCAACCAGCTAAAGATGCATGACTCGTGAAACATGTGACAACACGGCATGTCAATCAGCTCTTTGGCCGACAAGAAATCTTCAAGGCATATGGCGCAGGGGCCTTCAATAGCATGACAAGCGTCGGTACGATCAACCCTCCGTTCTGCTCTCAGTTTCTCAAGCAGGGAGGTCGATACCCCATTATTTGCAGAACTATCTCGGTTGCCACCACCAAAATCAAACTCGGCCTGTGCTGGATTGCTCCTATAATAAGTGAGCACTTCCTCAAAATTTTGGATTCTCTGTCCTGTGACCCCTTCGTCAAAAATAACATCAGTCCAGACACTCCGCGCGTCAAACGAGAAGTGATTGGAGGAGCCGGCAATGGATATTCCTTGGAAATAAACGAGCATTTCGGTAGATATTTGCTCAGCGAACTCATTACCGAGACCGTTATCGAGACTGAAACTTGTGAGTTGGTTGAGAATGTGGTGGTGGGCTGTGGATTGCGAGAGCAGGTCTATTGGGAGGTAGAGGACTGTATGGGTAGGTGGAAGAAATTGTAGTCTATTCAAGACGGTTTCCCTACCTTCAAGATGGCGGAATACCCCCTCATAAATGGGGGTTACTCGAAGTCTGACTGTCAAGTACTCACGATCATCAGTTATTGGCGGCAACCTAGTTGCGTCAAAATTCAGTGTCCCGGACTCCATGTTTCTTGAAATAATAAAGAATGGAAAACAGAGAGAGAAATAAGGAAACAGAGAGCCTAGATTGAGGAAGAAGACCAGAGTGAGAGGGAGATATAGGTGGAGATAAAAACCAGCGAGAAAGATAAGCGGAGAGGTTGCTAATTGCGTCCAGGTGTAGTAAATGTAACTATATATATATATATATATAGGAGAAATTGTTTCGATTTTTTTGAACTTTTCCGATCCAGAAATTGTAATTACAACCTTGTTTCCTTTTCCGATAAGGAATTGTAGTTACCAATCCAAATTTAAAAAATTCAGGGAAGATCCAATCTTGATCTTCTCTGGTTTCCTTTTAAATGGGGTGGGTTACGAAGAGAGCGGAAAAACTGACCGTTGGGAGACTTGCATCGAAAGTTTATATTTTTGAATTTTTTAATTATAAATCTTCTTATTTATTTTATTTAATTTACGAGTTTTAATTTTCGCCCTTAAATTTCCTTATTACTTGTCTTTATGATTTTATTTTCTAACTCAACATTTTTTGCCGAAAAATTAACGCTCTGATCTCCTCCTACCTTTCTTCTTCTCCCTTCGCTTACCCTAAATTATTTCAAGAACAGATGAAACTAGGTTTAGCTTGAATATATATAAACATAAAGAAACACTTCTGTCCAATATCAACATTAACTAAAGAATGATGCCTAGAACGCACTCGTTCTTTTGTGTTAAATATTGTAATCATAAGAAAGAAAATTCATAATCGGACTGAACTAGTAGTTTTTATAATATCCAGTATATAAAGATTATGAATATGTATCTCGTAAAAATTTATCATCTAAGTACACGATATTATGATATTAACTTCCATAAATATCTCACATAGAAAATTGGATAAAACAGGGGAAATAGAAAAAAGAGTACAAGAAACTTCGCTCACTGACCTCGCTGAAGAGAAACGTATGCGGATGGCAATTTCCTCTTGGCCAATCGAATCCCTCAGAACCAGGACCGATATAAAGGTTTTCCATCATTCCTTGTACTAGAACAAAATAATCATCCTCATATCAACTTCATGTACCTTAGTGAAGAACTCAAATGCCGATAGGAAAATGCTAGAAGGACATCGGCGTTTGTGTAACGGCCCCGGAAATATTAAAATGAAATGAGTATTTAAATATATCAAATGCGGAAGCGAGATCAAAATTTCAGTTAACATCCCTTACATGAAAAACAAAAAACGTACTTAAAATATAAAAGATTAAACTAAGAGAGAAACTCGAAAATAAAACTATGAGTATGACTACAGAGTCTCTAGGCATCCCCTTCGTCGTCCTCCTGCGGAACGGGCTCGGGAACCATGTCTTCCTGATCTGAAATGGTTAAATAAGGAGTGAGCTACACTAGCCCAGTAAGAACATCACGATATCTCACCGTCACGGAGGTAAAGGTGGGTAGAAAAACACAAAAGACCAATGGAGCATAATTTACAACAAATCCTTTTATTTATGATAAAACCTTTACCATCCACTTACCTCGGTGGAATTTATGAAAACAATATAAGAAAAACAATAACATTATCATAATCATTGAATAATATAAGCTGTAAAACATAACACTTATCACGCCTCTTGTAATTCAATCATTGTACAACATATCTTTTTCTCATTTACCAGCCTACTAGTATCCGTGGGGGTCCATAGGGGTTCCGCTACCCGTTAACCTTTAACATTCATAATCGGTTTCCAGGGCCGTCCCCATACCCCGTCCGGTATGGGCGCCAAAACCATGAACCTCAATACCCCGTCCGGTATGAGGGTGAAACGGGCCGTCCCCATACCCCGTCCGGTATGGGCGCAAAAACCATAAGATCTCCATACCCCGTCCGGCATATGAGACCACAATCCCGGTAGGGTTCCCTACGGACCCGGTCCGCCCACCATCTCCCAGGATATCTAGTCAGGCTGACCCCCATAATACAATTATCAGTCTACACAATCTTTCATTTTCCTTTTCCTCAGTCAGCATCATCAATTCACATACAAACAAGCAAAACAGTAATTCATGCCAAACAGACAACATACAGTATCAGTTTTTCAGTCATTCAACCCATGATTAATAAAAACGTAGTATATGCACACAAATCTGTAAAATGAACACATCAAACCTCATTTTGCATTTAAAGCTGTAAACAGGCCAAATAACAGTAAATCACCAATCACACTAGACTCGGGCTCCATTAGCCACCTTAAGCAATTTCACACATTCGTTAATTCAAGAAATACCGTTTTATCATTTTGAACTTTAATACCGTGATAGGAAATAGGGTGAGGGGTCCTTACTTGTTTTCGGGATCCGAATACGATTCACAGTGCGCCTGCAGGCCGTCCCTAATTTTCCCTGAATTTTTTCCGGAGAACTGAAACACACTAACAGTACCTGCACGTGTTCCAAAAAAAACCCAAATTAGGCCCAGGGCCTCTTTCGGCCCAAATCGCAACTCCGGCACGGCGGCTCCGCCGTGCTCCGGCGACGGCGCCGCCACTGGCGGCGGCGAGTCGCCTCGGGTTGGCTGTTTTCGACCGTTTTCGGCCGAATTCGGCCACACTCGCATCGGTCCTTGTGAGAAAACAACCCTAGGGTCCTCGGGGGGCCAAAAAATCACGGAAAAACGGAGCTTACCGGCGGCGGCGCTCTCGGGTGCGGCGGCTCTCCGGCGAGGTTCGTGTTTTGGTGATTCGGCTCCGGTCAACCTGTAGAGAAAAGAATGGTGATCACGGTGATATAAAAATTGCATCGAACGGAGGCCGGGAAGGGCCTCGTCGGAGGCAAAAACCGAGAGGGGGCGCGGCGGCGCCGCTGGGCTTCGGCCGCGTATTTCGGCCGTTTGGCCGGGATTTCGGCCTCGATTTGGCCATAGGAGGAATCAGCGTGGAAAAACGAGTCGGGGGTATGAAATTTACCTCGATCGGCGGTCGAAAATTTCCCCGGTGCGGCGGCGGGTGGCGGCGGTCGGCCTCTGGTTCGTCTTCTCCGGCGAGCGGCAGGCGGCTAGGGTTTGTGGTCTGGTGTGGGGGTTCTATTTATAACCCCTTGCCTTTTGATCTCAGTCGTCCATTTCGTTTTAATCTGGGCCGTTCGTTTTTGATTGAATCTGGGCCGTCCGTGCGATTGAATCTGGGCCGTCCGATCGCGCTATTGATCTGGGCCGTCGGATCGCACCCACGCGGATCGCCAACGTGGCTCCTTTCGGAGTGACGTGGTCTTGCCACGTGGCAGGCCCCGGTTGGCCGGGACTGCTGACCGGGCCTGCTGACGTGGCTGCTGACGTGGCCTTTCCTTTTTTTTTTTTTTTTTTCCTCCTTTCCGGGTGCTACAGTTTGAGTTGAGAATCCAAAATTTTCCAAGAAACGGACAGAAAGTGGTATAGAAACTGAAAAAGTAGAGTACGATCTGAATTGGAAAACATACTTTACCTGTAGGAGATAGAAGGAGAGCCAGATCAGCGGGCCGGCGAGTCATAAGACAGAGAGGAAGTTCAAACTGGAAATAGAGGGAGAAAAGGAGGGAAACGCAATTTGAAACCAGCAGTGGAGTGGCGAGAGAACAGTGAACGTGGAGGAAGATGATTGGCCAATCGGTATGAATGAAACTTTTTTGTTTTATTTTTTTAAGAG